GAGCAAGCCGCCACACACAGCCCCACACCCCCAGGAAATGACTTCCTGTCCCTTCTTTGCAACTCTGATCCGCCCCCCACACCTGAGACGGTCAGTAAACAGAAAGTGGGGAGCAATGGGCATGGTCCCCAGGCCACGCCCGGGCTCCATCCCAATGCCCGCCCCCCGCCTTTCCCTGGTTCCCCATTTCCCCAGGGACAGCAAACCAGGAGGGCGAGGGCCTGAGCAAGAATGGAGGCCTTCTCCCACTGCAGCTCTCATAGACCTGAAAGAAATAATTCAGCCTCTATATTTTGACTCAAAACAAAGAAACTTTTTAAAAACATTTCAGTTGAAACTTGCATAATTCTTCCAGTGGAGAAATCCTCCCTGACTTTCGCAATCCTTAGAAAGAGACACATTATTGCTGCTTGTGTAACAGTCTCCAGGCCACGAAGAGTCCGGCCGCCGGCCTCAGCCACCTCCCGCGGTCACCTCCCGCCAGACAGCCAGGGCTGGCCCCGGAAGCACCACCTCCCCCCCCCCCCCCCGCCAGCTCCCCGCAGCCAGGGCTGTGGGGCGGGGCCGGTCACACTCCCCCCAGACTTCCTCCTGCTCCTGGCCTGTCTGCCCTCGCCCGACATCTCAGACACACATTACACAAACCGGCTGCAGGGAAGGCTGAGAGGCCCAGACACGGAGAGTGCGTGAGCCTACTCCCGAAGCCCTGTGCTGACTGGGGGACCCCGGTGCGGGAGCAGGCACAGAGGCGAAGGTCGCCCAATGACCCTGCTGCCCTGAAGAAACCCCAAGAGGCTAGGGGCCTGGCCCAGCTCCAAAGAGGGGTCCTGGAAACTGGCAGGATGGCGGACAGAGGGGCAGATAGACAGACGGGCAGGCAGCCCACACCTGGAGGGCCATCCAGACACGGCTCTGCACACGCAGCCAGGCAAGGCACCCGGCCAGCAGGGAGGCCCTCACTCTCTCTCGCACGGCCCACTCACTACAGGGCACGGGGAGAAACCAGAGGCCTTGCTCAAGCTGTTGTATCCCCCATTTGAGAAGACTCTCCAACCTTCACTCTGGGGCCTTCACCCTGGCGACCAGACCAACTTGCAGACCCCATCCTTCGGCATGGCTGGGGCTGGGGGAGGGGGCCCAAGGCCCGTCCGGGAACTTTGCCTCAGAGCATCACCTGAGACGGCACCCCACTTTCTCAGCCAAACGTCTGGAACAAGAAAATCACCATGGAACCCCACAAAAGCCTACAGCAAAACAAGGGGACAAAGGGACAACCGACCCTCTAAATCTCTGCCGGCACAACAGATGGCATCAGGGTAAAGCCAGACCCCCATGAAAGAGAGGTCCCAGATGAAGCATGCAGGTCAGAGTCTGTGTCCAGCCTGATGGGACATTCTTGATAACGTTCCTTCCCAAGATAATTCCAGCTTAAAAGAGCAAACCACATCTCACTAGGGGACTGTCCACAGGCTGGAACCCCCCTTCCTGGCCTGCGGACTTAAAAGCTGCAGTCACTCCCCAACAGGCGCCACGAGACTCCATGCCCCCAGTGCTGCCGGCCGGGTCTCTGCTTTGAGAAAACACTGCCCTGTGACCAGGGAGAAGTTTCAGGTGACATGAAGAAAACTGTTCCAATGTCATGGATTCAGACAAATCCAGTCGTGGGCACTCACGCCACAGCGGGCCCCTGGAGCAAAATGACCCACACAACAAGCCCCCTCTGAGAACTTGGGTGTCTGAAAGACAGGGGCACGATGAACAAACCCAGGCCAGGATCTCCAACCCGAGAATCGGGACACCCCGCAGAACAAAAAGCAGTCCCGAGGAGCCCATTTCTGGAGCTCGGGCCCCGGGGAGGCAGAGCACTGCCCTGTGGTCGGCCCAAAAGGGAAACACCTGGTGACCCAGCGAGGAGCCGTCCTGCGGGGCGAGGAGCCAGGCCCCAAGCAGCAACCAAGCCAGCAGCACAGATGTCCCCCTCTGCCGGCAATCTACACGGCTGGACAAGTGGTCCAATTTAGTCCAAATACCATGAGACAAGCCCAAGAGGAAGGGACAGAGCCAAGTGGGCAGAAGAAGAGCAGAGAAGGCTCCGAGTCCCCATCTCCTGGCCACATGTTCCCCCAGCAACAAAATGACACATCCCCACCCCACCTGACACTGGACACCTCAACACCCTCAAGAAATAAAACGTCACCATCACACCGCTTTACTACAGTCCCCATTTCACACAAGAAACGCAGACACAGAGAGGTTAAGCAACTGGCTCGAGGTCACACAGCCAGTAGAGACGTAATGAGGCTACGGGAGCGGCCCCATGGGGTTCCACAGCTGGACTGGCCCACTGCAGGACAGCGAGGACAGCAGCTTGGGGGGAAGGGGCTCAGAGGTGGCTCCCCAGCACCGCGGAGGCCCCTCCTGGCACAGGTGGCAGCAGAGTGCTGACCGGTCTCTGGCTGGCAGGAGACTGGGGCAGCACCAGCCCCACAACCTGGAATGTGCTCCAGCTCCCGTGGCCTCACCAAAACCCAAGGCCCCAGGGGAACCGTGGCCCCTACACAGAGGATTCTAGCATATTCTTTGTTCCCTGCTGTCCTCATCCTTGGTAAATCAAAAACATTAAACTAACCTATCAAACAACTGAAAAAATTCAAGATCTATTCCATGAATAAGCTGTCAGAGGCAAGTGGAAGGAGAAATGAGAGACAGGCAGGGCTGGGGGGGATTGAAGGGGGGGGGTCTTCCCAGGCAGCTCCATCTGGAGCAAGTGGGCTCTGTGCAGCTGGGGATCCCCTCCCACCCTGAGCTGATACCTGCCTCACGGGGTGCCCTCGGCATGTAGACAGACGAGCACATGGCTGTGCTAGGAGATTTAAAGGGGACGATGCACCCCAGGACTCCCAACTGCACGGTCACAGAGCCAAGGAAGCAGGCAGAGCCCAAGAACAGGACAAGCAGAAAAAGCTGGCAAGAGAAGCGCCCCACGAGGTGGCAGAGCCAGCAGGAGAGCACTCGAGAGCTCAAGGAAGCCCAGGGCCGGGCGCCCAGGCCAGGTCACCACCACGAGGACGCGCTGGCTGACACTCGGGCCTGGAGACCCCACCCACTTACGATGAGCAGCTCTTCCTCGTCACAGGGGAAATTTTTGTTTCATCAGTCAACGAGATTTAGGGCAGCATCAGGGAAGGCGCTGAAGGAGAAGGGGCGGCTCTGATCATCTGCTGAGAAGGCCGGAGCAGAAACAGGCTCATGGCCTCTGCTTCCCGGACTGCAGGGACCAGTCCTGCTCCTCCCCAGGCAGTGCTTGGGCCCGAGTGCTCAGGCTGGGCCTTCCCTGAGCTGGAGGACGGCCGCACCCACAACCACGGCGCCTGCTCCGAGAGAAGCCGGGCCCGGGTCTACGGCTGTGACAAAGGGCCAGCCCCCACCACACACCCCTCACGCCCAACTCAGACACCGACACAGACACGCCCTGCCACACAAGGTCCTCTGCCACCCGCGCTGGAGGTAAATGGCCTGCCACAGCTCAGCCACCAGCTGCAGGCCACAGTGGCCATGGAAGGTACGGGCACCCCAAACCGAAAAGCCCCCGGTTCCCGCAGGGTGCCCATCACGCCACCCATCACCAAATCATCTGAAATCAAAGGCTTGGGCCTTTCCTGCCAGCATCCCCCCCTACTCAGACCATCCCTCCGGCCCAGCCCCTGCCCCACAGTCTGCAGACAGCTTGCCGCCTGGGCAGCGACATAGGTGAGGGCAGAAATGCTGCCGAAAGCACGTGCACGCGCACACACAGCAGCCCCTCCGAGCACAGGCAACAGGCCCCTACACCCCCCAGCCCCTCCTCTGCTCACCGAGACTCTGACACTCCGCTGGAGGGGCGCCCGGATAAAACCGGGCGGGAGCATCTATTCACAGATTTAGAAAAAAAAGTTTGATGCAGTAGCTGAATTAATTAGGCCTCCTCAGAATAGCTAGGCCAATGCAGCATTCTGTGCATGCAATTTAATAAGCCTGGATATTTAAAAGAAAAGTTACAAATACTTGGGGAGGGGAAGACACCATGAAAAGTTGGTGAGGACCCCAGTGAATGGTCTCAGGGTCCAGTGGCCTGGGAGCCACCCAGCCAGCTACCCAGCAGGATCACACACATCCTCTGCCTGGCAAACAACAGAGCCTGGGCCAGCGGCCCTCCTCCGCCCGGCAGCATTTCAGAGAGACGAAGACAAGGAAACGGGCGTGTCCAAAACAAATCGCAGGCCATGAGCTACTCCTACTCAGGGCCCCAGGTGCCCGCTGACCAGGCCCCAAGCCCAGGGCCAAGCGGCCGTTGCCCCCACACCGGGGGACTCTGGGATTCACACCCTGGCAGGCGCAGGGAAACACACAGAGCTGGAGTCGCCGAGTCTCGGCCCCCTGCCACCGTGGCCTGGACACCTGGCTTCGTTTTTGAGTCTGTCTCCCAAGACTTCAAGGCACAAACAGGCCCCACCGGGTCCAGTTCTGCCTGCTGAAGACCACTGGCAGGAACCCCTCTGTCGGGGGAGGGGGGGGGGCTTGGTCTGCACACCTCCTGACGGCCCCCGAGGAAGGCCTAGGCCTGAGGCTGCAGCCTGGGCCCAGCCCAGACCGAACTTCCCAGGACTGGGAGCAAGACTGTTCGAGTGTGCTGCAGGCTGCCCTTCCCAGCCCACCAGGGCAATGGCTGTGGACACGAGGAAGGCTTCTCCACCCACCAAGCCAGCACCCCACCACCAGCACTGGGGCCACCCACGCAAAGCAAGCCGGCTCATCATAAGGGTCGAGCCAGACAACCTTCCTACGCTGTCGATGGGGATGAGGACGCTACCCTGAATTTCCCCGAAATAAATCCAAATCCTGATACAAGCCCCAAACTGCACAGACAGAGCCCACGGCCCAGGAGGGCCCCCCAGCTTCCAGGCCCTGGGGTCCAGCACACCCAGCGTCCTGCCACTCCCACAGCCAACGGGGACACTCACCCGGGGCACCCGCCGCTTGTACTTGTTGCCATAGTCAAACTTCTCCTTCACGTCGTCCAGGCAGCGACCAAGGCGCGCCTGTTCCTCCTTGCCCGTGTAGTCCTGGCTCAGCAGGATGTAGGCCCGCCAGTTGGCCGAGTCGAAGCCCCAGTGGCAGGTCCGGTTCTCCAGCGCCTTGTGTGAGTGCACCACGAACTTGTGCGGGGGATACATGAGGCGGCAGTCGAGGCACTGGATGCAGGCGGCACTCGGGCTGCTGTAGAGCTCGGGCACCAGCAGCCCCTTGCACTTGCCGAAGCACTCGTGGTACACACGCACGCTGCGCTCGCTGAGCTCCAGGCCCAGAGCCAGACTGGCGGCCAACTCCTTCTTGCAGGGCGGCGGGTAGGCGCCGCCGTACAGCAGCGCGTTGCACAGGCGCTCGGCGTCCGTCTTGGTGATGAGCCCGCACGAGGGCGCCGAGAAGGGCAGGATGCCCATGACTTTGAGGATCTCCAGCTGGTCCGCCGTGCAGCGCGAGCAATAGATGTGCAGCTCGTCGCACACCGAGTTGATCTGCTGCAGCGAGAAGTCGCGCAGCACCGAGTTGAGGATCTGCGGCAGGCACAGGCGCTTTTCGCCGCCCACCACGAAGCACGAGATGGTCTCGCCCTCCAGCACGGTCTCGCAGCGCTCGGTGGAACGGTCGGACGGCATGAAGAAGGGCCCGGGGAGCACGGGCGGCGGCGGCTGGATAGCTGGCAGGTGCAGCACGGGCGGCGGCTCCGCGGCCGCGGGCACCGGCGCCGGCACGGCAGCCGCGCTTGCCTCCTTGGCGCTCTCCTTCTTGTAGGCCTCCTGCGCCCAGCGCGCCGAGAAGGCGGCCGGGCCGCCCAGCGAGCTCATAGAGCTCAGGTGGAACTGCTCCAGCGTCTTCTGCAGCCCCGGGTGCGGCTGGAAGCCGCCGCGGCCACCCGCCGCCGCCTCCATGGTGCGCTCCGGCTCCCCGGGCCGCTCCCGCTCCCGCGCGCCCGGGCCCCCGCGGCCCCCGCCGCCGCCCCGCGCG